TAATTTTTATAATCCTATATTGTCATATACTAAACGATTTAGTTTTTTCATTATGAAGACAAATAATATATATTTCATGTAATTAATTAATAATATATTTTTTATTTTTATTTATTTGTACTAAAAACGACTGTTTGAAATTATTTTATTATATGAAACATTTTTAAATATATGTGATGAATATTATATAATATATATATATATTATTGAACAATTAATAGTCAATGATTTTGTTTTTTGTCTTTAAATTCATTCGATTTAGATTAATAATTGAACACATAATATTATGTTATTAAAAATGTATGGATATTATTATTAAAAAGTAGAAAACATATGATACCTAAAAATATTATTTTTTTAGATTTTTACTGTATTAGAGCATATATTAATGTATGATAATAATTAAGTAACCGTCTAAACTCTATGATGATATTTATAAATTATTAAAAATGATTAATATATTATGTGCTTTTGATAGTTTTTCATAATTATTAATACTATTGGATAATTAAAATAATAATTTTCGTTAGAAAAGTTTTTAAAGTTATTATAATTTTTGACTAAGACCATACAGCCAGAGAAATAATTTTGTATAATGTATAAACCTGTGAAACTTATTTTTCGTTTTTATCAAATGATATAATAAYGATCCGTAGGTAGTGTATGTATTGATTGTGTACCATTAACCATTAGAAATGAATTTCTGCAGTTTTTATTATTTTTAATATTATTACTTCTATAATATAATTTATTTGAACATAATTTACTATCGTCCAGTAATACGGTATGAAATTCTGAAGTGAAAAGACACTTAKCTRAATGACGAGTACATTAATTAGATTTGCAATTCATTTTGTTGTATAACTATTGAAAACCTTGATACTCCATAATACTGTTGACCCAGCAGTTAATTGACAATCATCGGCTTTCTAAAATCTAATAGTCTAAACTTGATACTCAATAACAGATAACACTCTCTGTGTGATGATTGATAATTTGAAAATGTCATGTCAATCTGTCAAAGTWAAATACTGACTAATTTTTCAAGTCAAAGATATAAATATATCAATATATTCTCAGTCAGTAATGACTAGTCTTATATTACTAAAGTAATATATGATTATTATTTTATTTATTTTTAGTTATTTAAGAGATTTATGATATTTTTTTTTTAACAATGGTTTGAGGAGGATTGATGAATCAATTTTAAAATTTGTAGAAACAAAAACAACTTTATTAATTTCAATATTATTGATTTGAGTTTAACTATAAGCGAATAGTTGTTGAGTTCGTTACCATTAGAGTGCGTTTTATGGTCCCCTGCACACAAATCTCACTTGACAAGCTCATGCAGAAATTGTGTACATAAGCTTAACTAATACAACTCTGAGTATATTTCACAAAGTGATTGATCCATATTATGAATCAATTCTCGAAAATATCTATACCTTGTAAGTTTTTAGTTATCTCGTTGAAGTAGGATGTTTGCTATTTTATTATTAATACGTAGTTATTAAGAAAAATAAACAATTCTTCTTTGGATAATATTGGTCACACAAATTTGAAATTTGTAGGATTTAAAATTATTTTCTAGACCACATAAAATAAAATAATAAATAAATACATTATGAATGATTTAAGTGTAGWAGAATAAGAAAAAAGTTTTCTTTTTCTTTTAAATACAATAATTTACAATGTATGTTAATTTTTATATTAGGTAATACAATTTTGATAATCCGCATATTAATCAGTTAATTAGACATTTTAGATAATATTTTTCGAGATCATATAATCTAAATATTCTTAAGACGAGTAAACTGATTTAATAGAGTTTTTTTTATTTTATACATATATTTTTTTAAATTTTTATTTGACATAAGTAATCTATACAAATGATTACTATAATAGTTTATGTGAAAATARTTATGCGCAATATGCAAGATGTAATTCAAGTAGCCTTGTAATGACTCTTGATTAGTGATTAATTTTTAATTATTATTATGTAATATGTATATATTTTTTTTTTTGAGATGTTAGATATTAAAGTTTTGTAAAAGATCACGGCACCACTTTATTTTTAGTTTGCAATTGGGATTTACTGTGAGTGTAAGAACGGAAAGTTATTTTATGAGAGGGTTAGGTTGAATTTGGAGTAGTTTATAGAAGATATACGTTTCCTATTCGACTGTTCGCATACATAGTTATTACGAAGAATTAAACTAGAGATATAGGGCAAAGCATTGAACAGTTTTTGAAGAGATATGTTTATAGRAACGTTTGAATTCTAATAATGTCAGATTTTTTTGGTATGCCCATGGTTGAAGTCTATATGTTCAGATCGGTTTCAGTAGAACTTTATAGATGTTGTTTAGAGTGAAGTATTTATTTCAAATTAATAGAGGTTTGAGYATACGCATACGATTATTCCAGGTTAGTTTTTTGGTTCGAAGGTGTTTATTTCAAGTCTATCTTTTGTCGAGTATTAAGCATAAGTATCTGAATGGGTCGTATACAGGAGTTGGTACGTTCTTCGGGATAATGTTCGGGCATATTCCTTATTTCAATTTAAAAGTTGTATGTTAGATTTATTTTGACTCACCATTTTTTAAACCACTGAGACAAGTGATTAAGTTGTATTGATCAGCTTTTACTAAGTCAATTTGTATATMCTAGGATGTACACAACGTGTTTAGTAAATGCCCGAATAAGATTAAGAATGTCAGCATTTACTGAGTAAAAACAGTAAAACCTAGCATTAACTAGTAAAACCTAGGTTTACCTAGTCATCAGGCATTTACGGTAACATATTTATGTTAGATTGAAAGAGGATAGTATTCTATTTTGTGAAACATTAGTTTTAATCTTAGCGATTCTTAATTTTGATATGTAATATTGGACTTGAAAGTGTTTATTAATAAAGTATGATTTAATTAATAGGGATAAAGAAGAAGGAAGACGCTTTTTAATTTTAAATTAAATTTTAAAGTTTCAATTTAAGCATTCATGCCAAACTCAGCGGAAGGCTTTTTGAATCATTTAAAAAAAAACAAAAGAGGAAAATTAATTAATTTCAAGAGATGAAGAAATACTATTAACATCTCGATGTAATTGTTGTATCGGGTTATGTGAGTTAAAGAACCTGATCTGAGTATTCATGAATATTTCTTTGAACTAGCTACTGGCTGAATGAGGGTGATTAAGTTATTGATTGCATCATCGATTTCTTGTTTCGATTTTAGTTTAACTTCAAGTAATTGGTGAGACAAGAAATGGTCTTTCGTTATTTGACTGCGGTGATCTAATTGATTTATAATTATAAAATCATTAATTGACCGTAATTGAACAAATTATACCGAAGTATGAGAGTAAAAATAAAATTATTTATGGTYATGATTTAAAATATTTTTTTGTAATTTCTCGACTAATGATTATTTATTATTAGAGATATAATATTATCCTGTAATAATTAATTTTTTAATAAAGCTTAATTCTTTGTTTTGATTTTTGGTCATTTTATTAATTTACTTTAGTACAATTTAATTTTCTATTCCATTTTATGGTTTTGTAATTGCATACTCTAAATTTCTTCATGTAGTCATATTATTGCTATGGACTGTTTCACTAATAAACTAATTATCAATTAACTATTTTTTATAAATTTCACACCTTAAAAATTCTGTGTAGAGTAAAATTAAAATTAACTGCCTAATTAAACATATATTGTTAAAATATATATTCTTGTATAGTAAACTTTCATGGTTGTCTCATATTGATTTATAAAAATAAAAATAAATATTATGTAGCTATTATGACTGTTTATTATTATTATTTATTAATCTCGTCTTACCAAATTCTATGAACTTTTAGACTGTAGTTATGCATAATATTTTAATTTGTTGAAATATAAATAATTATTGTATAATTTCTAATTATATTATTTCAATAACTACATACAAACTTGAAAATACACAACCTCAAATATCGAGTCTTTGTTCATTTTTATTTCATCATATACAGAAACATTCCTACCTATAAAAAACTACTGAAAACAAGCTGTAAATTCTACAGTAATTTGTAGTTCTTAATTTATTTTTTAACCTATTGGGAAATTCCAATAATGGCTACTTCCAAAGTAACATCTGTGCAGTTTTAGTTTGATAGAAACGGTACTATTGAAAGTTTTTTATCACATACATTTTTCAACCTAACGCGAGTGATCACAGAAACGGAAAAATAAATATAATATATTAAAAAAACTATGTACATTTTACCTACATAACTTAACAATAAGTATATTCCACTTATGTTCTAAAAATATGATACACAATTATTTATAACTTTTGTTATCAACTGATTAAATATAATTGTTATGTGCAAGATACTCATCATTTTTGTTAAATTACTGTGGGTGATTGATGTGAAAAATAATAACAATCAGGTAGAATATATAGAAATTTAAATAGAATTTTATACAACCAAATACCATTATTAATACCATTTTTATTCATTTGTGTAATAGAAACTTATGTTGTTATTTCTAAACGATTATGCTGTTTTCTATATTGGTTCATTATTATTACTTCTGAATCAAAATTATGAATGATATCATTCTCAATAATATAGTATTATGAAAGCCGATCTTTTGTATCACGGAGGTTAAAGATAAGCTTTGGTGCATTGTAGAAAATAATCTTAAACAATATGCACACATAATTGTAGAGAAAAATATAATTAACAACTCCAATRTAATGAGACTATAGCAATATTAGAAATTATTATGAAAATGCAACAAAAAAAGAAAATGTATACTATATGATTTTTAAGTTACTATAATATTATATAAAAAAATATGCACCAACTAATATGGGTATATAGGCACTAATTTTAGCCAATGGGTGCTATATGTGTTACACATTCACGGTTGCGCTAATAAAAAATATATGCTTCACAATGATTTATTGAATGTTGTACTTGTATACATTATGCTTTAATTTTCTTACCGTTCGCTCTCCTAAGTTTCTGACACGGCAATGAAGATAAGCTGTGCTTCCTAATGGCACAGTGAGGTTGGTTTCAGTGGTGTTATCCAAAAGCGGCTCCGTCAGCTTTTGAAATTCATCAACACTCGAATACCATAGTTGTTGCCATTCTGAGTGACCAGATACTCCTGGTTGTCCACTTTTACTTTTTGGACTGGATATTTCTCGTTTTTCTGTAAAAAATTAAACAATGAACATATTATTAATATTTTTTTTGTAAGTAATAAGTTAGATCTAATAGCTTAATAAATATGYATTAAAAGATAAATCACAATACCAAATTATAAAATCTGTATTAGATGAAATTATTTTTCTCTGACAAATATTAAAATACCGATGTACATCATAAATATATAAACTTCAGTGTTCTTTCAAATAATATTACTATACTAAATATAATAATTATAATATAATCATTATTTTTCTTTTTTTTCATTGTATACTTTTAATTAAATACTATAAACACATAATTATGACCATTATTATTATGTTAGATATATATAAACTTCAGTGTTCTTTCAAATAATATTACTATACTAAATATAATAATTATAATATAATCATTATTTTTCTTTTTTTTCATTGTATACTTTTTAGATGTTTAAACAAAAAAGTTGAAATTAACATATTTTTTTTTATTATATAGTTTAAACTTAAAAAGAAAATAATTTGACTAAAGATGTGCATTTATATATATCTAACATAATAATAATGGTCATAATTATGTGTTTATAGTATTTAATTATGTTATAACAAAGAACCTTCAATAAAACTATTGTGTAAGATTTTTATTCATGTAGTTGTACAATCTATTAAATAATATTACTCTACAGGAATTATAAAAATATTAATGTTGTTTTTGGTAATTTATTAATATACATACCAAACGCATAATCAATATATTATAGTAAAATACTAATTATACATTTTTAAATTAAAAAAATTCAATATTAAAATTTATTGTATTTTAATCACCATCATTATTTTATAAATACAAGAATATATATTAATTTGTATTATTCTGACTTGTAAATCATAAACGATGTAATTTAATTTCAAGCATCAATGTCTCACCATATTGCTCCGTTTAAATGGAATTCAATCAGACAATGTCAAAAGCATTCTCATTATTGAAGGCATTTTCAGCTAGGTTTAAAAGGAGAAAGAAAATAAATAAAAAACCTACTTCATTACAAAATGACGTGTAGGCTCAATCGATCCATTTTCCTGGGAATTAATTTTTATTCTAGTTATAAATGCCATCGTCGATTAATAGATCCTTAATTTGCTTTGTTATACATTCATAAAATAAATAGTTGAGATTCTAAGATTCTATATGAGAAAATTACGAGTATCTTACGTGTAACAACACGTGCTCTATCAGACGGGACTAGAACGGCGAGTCGACTAATTGCGAGTCGACAGCCGACGAGTCGATGACGACATTGGGTATTATTATTGCGATAAAGATATTATATTATGTACCTACCTACTCGTATATCCAAAATTTYCAAGTTATATCGATATTTATCAAAGCAATTATTTGAGATAAGATATTGAACCAGTATTATACATCATACAATATAAAACCGAAAAGCCAATGTCTTGTGCTCTAGTGTTATATTAAATCAGTGATGTTTGTGCCGTCATCGTATTTTATTTTATAATAATGGAGTGTTATTTGTTAAAAAAAAATCTTGTTATAGATGGCTATGTTATGGTCTAAAATAAAGTGCGTGAAAATTGGTACTACTGGGAGTGTGAAAAAAGAGTCCTTAGAAAAACTTTAGAAACAATTGAAAATTGTAATGCCAGAGCTACGACTAATTGTATCAATGGTGTACATAAACTTCGTGGCACGCCTACAGATCATAACCATGCACGTCAAGTACACAGTGCAATAGCTATAGAATTTCGAACAGATTTTTAAAAAACGTGCACATTCGACTCGTGATGAACCCTCTCAAATATTGCAATAAGTAATTAGTAATATACCTTAAAGTATTCAAACATATTTACCTGGTCCTGAAGCTGTACGGAAAATTATTTAACGTAGAAGAAGAAAATCTTTACCAGCCAAACTAAAAACTTTAGAAGATATTAAAATTCCTGAAAGCCTACGAAATACTTTTGTCGGAGAATTATTTCTATCACGTGAGTCTAAAATAGAAAATTATGTTGTATACAGAATCATAATATATTATGAGACAAATTTTGGAATAAACTAGCTACTTTTATAAACAACCAATAAAAATATGAAAATACATACCTACATAACAATGATCAGCCATAGTTATAGACATTATTAAAGATAAATAATTTTGTATTTTAACTTATGTCTCGTGTGTGTAATATATTTCTTATTATTATTTATCGTACAAGTGTTCATTGCACTGCAGCTGTTTTTTGTATTTTTTAGATATTTTTGGATTATTATTGATTGGTTAAAAGTAATAAGTATCRGTATAAACGTTATTCAAGTACCACCATAATATAAGCTCCTTCTAAATATTTTCACGGAAAATATTGAGTTTAGTACGACGTAATATTTGTATCGTCATAAATAGTACACTGAATTTCGTTTAAGTCATGTGAGGGTTCAGAAAAATTATAAACTGTTTGTAAAATATACCTTAAATAATACATAATAATATCATGTAGTTTATAGTATACGTCATCTAGAAATAAAGTTATTCAGCTGCAGTATAATAAAAACAAAATTGCATAATATATTGCTGGCCCATAAATTTAAGAAAACAGTTTAACATACATGCAGCTATTTTCAAGTTATGTATAGCAAGTTAGTAGAAAATATTGCAGTAATGTCACTCTTGCTGTGACATTAATGTAATAATATGTGATAATATTTCTTTTTATAAATCACTGTGTAGTAATTGACATCAGAATGACTTAGCACTGATATGGCAGCTGTGCAACCATTAAGCTTATAATGTATAATAGAGAAATAGTTTCAATAATAAATATTATTTTATTATTACATCTAATGCTAATTTGTTTATTTCCAAATAATTTTTAACACTTACACAATAAGTATCTTACCTCCTTATCTCTCTCTTTGTATCTCACTCTTTATATACAAGGTCTAACTGTTAGACTCTAACAGATAGAACTGACTTTTGGAATACATTTTGTTCAAATAATTATTTTTTATTTTTTGTTCATTAATTGACCATAACGTTACACGTATAATAATTTTGTTTATGTTTATTTTTCAGTACTGAAAATAAAAAATTAAATTAATTTAATAAAAACATATTTGGATAAAATCGATTTGTTAATCTGATGATAAGAATAATTTTGGTGGTAAAAAGATTTATCTAAGTTAAGTAGTTTATTTTTTWGAATTTTTTGAAATTCAATATTTTTTTTTGTTAAATTAATKCAGATATTAATTWWAAAAAAAATAGAATCTTTTAGAATTTTCTGACATGAGTAACTTCTTAAATTATTTAATTTTCATATAACATTAACAATTTTCGTTATTCGTTTATTAGTATAATGTTTTTTTGCTTTTTTGGTCAGATCTTTCTATTACAACTTGTATATATATATATATATATGTGTGTGTATATATATTAAATTATATTAATTAATATTAATATTTAAATAATAGGTACCTAAGCATTTTTCTTTTAATCTTTTTTTTAAACCACCATAATTTTAAGTTATTCTTATACGTTATTAAATTAATAAATAATCAATGCCATGGTGGTACATTTGATTGTACAAGGTTTTCAAAAATATAGTCATTAACATGAATATTTATTACTAAGTATAAATTACAATATGTTTATCTAATTTTTAACAGGAAATTCTATTTTTTCACATACGTTAGATTACTTGTATAGTATCCATATTTTTTAGGTTTATCCCAATTTATACTTTCCATCATTTAATTATTGTTTATACCTTTATACCTACTATGATCAATATTTTTATAATTAATTATATTCAAAATATATCTACAAATATAAAATTATTATAGCTAAAAATAAAGTAAAGTAAAAAAAAAAAAAATAATAATAATAATATTAATAATATTAATAATAAAAACTAAATGGAATTTAATGTGAAACTAAAGTACCTAAAACAATGCCATTCAATAAGTTAGTTAATAAAAATAGTAAATAGTAAAAGTTATCTTAGATAGAAATTCATAAAAGTTTTTCTTTTTAATTCTAAGATTTGAGAATTTAATACAAAGTTCCTAAAATATTTTTACAATAGCAGTTGAAAAAAAAAAGAAATGCATAGTCACATTTTTTTTTTTTTACAAGCATTTAAATTTAAATTTTGACAACATACGTAAAAATCACGAAAATTCGCAAATTATTTTAAGCTAGAAATTCATAAAAAAAATTTTTTTTAAATCTAAGATTTGAAAATTTTTAATAATCTATAATATATCTTAGACAGATAAACCGTCTCCGTTCAGAATCGTTTTTCGTATACAATGATAACCTAACCTAACCCCAATGTACAGCAGAGCGATACCCACTTAACCGCTTTTTTTTCTTTTTTTTTTTTTTGAATACTAACATCCTGGGACACTGTAATATGTTTTCACAAATCTACTTATCAACAATTCATTCTAATATTGAAGTATAAACATTATATTTTTGCGAAGTAAAATTACGAATGATTTTATTACGAGTTAATAAATAAATAATATAAAGATAAAATAATTTATATAAATCATAAATATTGAATACCGTAATATTAGGTAAGTCATTATTACTGTATTAATGTCATATTTTTTTGGCTTAAGACTAAATAATTTATAAATACATTTAATATTAAAATGTATGTACTTAATTCAATAGCAAAATATAGAATAGTAGCTAAATGTAAAGTTTTTCTATTATATTGATTTCAGTAGGTACCTATTTAGTTTTAGTAGTTTTACAATACCTAATAGGTATTAAAAGTTTCTTTCAATATAGCTATTCACACATATAATATATAATATAGTGTTCATCAATAGTTCCAATAATTACTACGGAGTTTATGAATAAATAAACTAATGATAAAATATTATATACAATACAGGAATAATTTAATACAGTAGATATCAAAGTTAACTAATGATAAAATATTATATTATTATAGACTATTATCTGAATTATTATATTATGTATTTATGTGTAACATA